CAAGAATAAGAAGAGTGCTCAGAGAGAGTGTCTAGAGAGAAGCAAAGGCATCATTCTTTCTTTATAGATAATCCAGCCACAAACCCAGAGAGCAGGGCTCACCTAGATCATATCTGGAAATGCAATTATCCTCCTTTGCTTGTTAATGTTATAAGGCTTTGTTCCAATTGTGCAGCTTAGCTTTAGAAGGTTGAAAAATGGTGCATGACAAACTCCCACTGCCATTAACATTAGTGGGCAGGATTGTCCATGAGCATGAGGCCTCTGCTTTGCACCCTAATCTGCTGCACCAACCTCAAGACACCTCTGTGGATGGGTACTTGGGAAAACTTGAAAGGACAAAGCTGTTACCAACCATGTGTTGCCAACCCCAATGGGAACCTGGGTGCCATTAGTACAGAAACCCACATGGTGAGACAGAAGTTTTTCCAAGACACAAAGCCTCACTCTTAAGAAGACAACTTTGGTCCAAAATTAGGCCCTGAAAGTTCTCCAATTGCTCTCTGTAAGAGTTTTCTCATTTGTAAAATAGCAATAATGACAGTACCTTTCTCCCTGGGGTGCAGGGAGGATTAGATAAGTTGGTCTATGTAGAGTGCTGAGCACTGGTTTTGAGGGTGAAAGTGCCAAGTCTAGCATCTTGGGTGGACTGTGGATGAGGCCACGTGCTTAAAGCCAGGCACTGGACTCCACCTGGGTGCCAAACAGTCGCCTATCAAATGTAGCAGGTATACTTACCTTAGATCCATGATCGGCAAACTGCAGCTCGTGAGTGTGGCTCTTCCACAAACACGTGGGCGAGCCTGTTTTGAAGAAGTGGCATTAGAAGAAGTTTAAGTTTAAAAACTTTGGCTCTCAAAAGAAATTTCAATTGTTGTACTGTTGATATTTGGCTCTGTTGACTAATGAGTTTGCTGACCACTCTCTTAGATGGATGGAGGGGTACATGAGGTAATGTAATTTAAGCACCAAGTCCTTTGCAGGTATTTAACTAAATCAGTCATTTCAAACCTGGCTGCATAGAAGAATCCCCTAAGGAGCTTTGTAACATTATTATATCTTTTTAATTTTATGTTTTGATCATCAAGTTTTAGACTTGCAAAAATAATACAGTTCTGGTATACCCTTCACCCAATTTTCCCTAATGTTAATATTTTGCATAATTATGGTCCAATTTTCAAAACTATGAAATTAACACCAGTGCAATACTCCTAACTAAACTAGACTTTACTCAGATTGCTGCAGTTTTCTTACTGATGCCCTTAACTCCTTGGAAGATCCAAACCCGGATGCCTTTGCTTTTCTTTGTCATGTGCCCTGAGTCTCCTCCCATCTGTGGCCTCAGTCTTTCCTTATCTTTTATGACCTTGATGTTCTTGAAGAATTCTGGTCATTACTGTAGGATGTCCCTTGCTTTGTATTTCTGTGACTAGATTTAGGTAACACATTATGGGAAAGGATATCACAGAAGAGATAAGCCCTTGGTATCTCATATCAAGAGGTACATGCTGTCAAAATGTCTCATTGCTGGCCATGTTAACCTTTATCACTTGGTCGAGGTTATGTCTGCTGAACTTACTCCTTGTAAAATCACTATTATCCCCTTTGACATTAATAAGTAGCTTGGGGAAATATATTCTATGCAAAAACCCATTTCTCCTATCTAAATCCCCACTAAAGTTCTATTCATTGGTGCATCTTGCCTGCAACAATTACTATGCGCTTTTAATGGTGATTCTATTCCCCCATTCTTTCTAGATTTGTTCATTGGAATTTTTCTCTAAGGAAATGCCATTTCATCTCCTTCATTTATTTAATTACTTGGTTGTTTATTGAGATCATCATGGACTCGTGGATATTTATTTTATTTTATGGGTTTTATAATCCAGTACTGTCATTATTTATTTTGATACTGAAACCTAAGGCACTTTTTTAAATAACCATGCCTGGGACCATCTCCAAGTCAATTAAATCTGAATCTAAGGAGGTGGAACACAGACAACGGTATTTCTTTAAAGCTCCCCGTGTGCGCTAAATGTGAGTTCTCTTACTCTCCCTACCTGCTTCCTTCATAAAGAAAAAAAAAATAAAAAATTCCTCCTCACATTTTTCTGCAGGATTAGCTCCTACCCTGGCCCTGGAGTACTGATGACGGGCTGCGGCCACTTAGGTGTCCGGCTCTGTGATTAGCTAGGGCCCCTGCCTCACACCTTCACTCCTTCAGCTCCCCTAGCCCCAAACAGAGACTTGGGGCCAGATTCTACCTTTACAACAGTGGCCTCCTGGTGTGGCATCTCTGCAGATATTTATTGTTGTTTCCACTGGGATCAGGTGAAGGAGGAAACAGCCACGGCAGCCTTTAGAAAGTCAGATTTGTTTGACCTTGAACTATGAAGGGCTTTCTGAATGGAAAGGTGGATTACAGCTGGGGTGTGGCTCTGCCTCCTCAGTCCCACAAAGCACGTGTCTGCCATTTGGACAGAATCCAAACCCCTGCTGCTTTTGACACCTTTGAGATCAAGAATTAAATTTACCAAATATGTAAATATAATTCTCTCTTTAGGTAATCAATATATAGCCAGATAGGGTTTCATTCAAAGCGATGGTCATCCTGAAAGAGAAAATTGATCCTCCAGCATCCTTCAGCTGGTTTCCAATTTCCCTCTATTCCAGGTGCCAAATCAATCTCATGGTTATTTTTAGAAACCTAATTGTTTCTTCAGTCCAGATTGATGCCAAGAATATGTCCAAAACTTAGAGGAATCAGATTTAAAGCTTGATCTGTACTGGATTAGAAGCTTAACCCCAAGTAGACCACAGCAGCATGAATTTGGCATGGTTTCCCAAATTGTGCCATGGGAGTTTAGGGAGATTTATCTCACAAGATTCCATTTCCTATCTTTTTATCATAGTGGTTGTTCCAACTTACTCTTTTCCTAGCATGCATTTTCGAAAACACCTTCTATTTAAGGAGACTCCAATTGATAGGGTAAGTAAATAAGTAATACCTTTCATAACTAGACAGGACAGTTGCTGGTGTTTCACTACCCAACATACAGATACTTACAAGACGGACATAGAGAGATGCAAAGTATTCATTCAGCACAGCATCCAACCCAGAATGAGGAATGTTTGAATGCTGCATGACCAAAATAAATCTCTCTTCCTGGAAGAACTTTAACCTCCAAGGAGAGGCAGCTTAAAGGTTTATTGTTGTCAGAGCCACAAACTCGACACCCCTCTTGATAAAATACTTCGATCCCTGACTCCGGTAGAGTTGCTACTCTAAAAGCCATTTGTGTATTGATCTCCTCCAAAGAAAATGAATAGGTGTCTAGCAGGACGAGCATCTTTGGGAGCCCAAGTTACTGTGATAGAGTCCTAGTGACCGGAAGGGACAGTAGGTGCTAAAAGGTGTTTTGCTGGAATGCCTGGCCCTTTTTTGTTTGTTTTTTGTTTTCTATGTTTTTTGTTAATCATCACCTGAGGTTATTTTTCTATTGATTTTAGAGAGAGTGGAAAGGAGGGGAAGAGACAGCAGAGAAAGAGGAACATTGATGTGAGGGAGACACATCGATTGGTTTTCTTCCACACTCACCCAAACCAGGGTAGGGGATCGAGCTTTCAATCAAGGCACCCTTCAGTCCACAGGCCAATGCTCTACCCATTGAGCCAAACTGGCTAGATGTGCCCGGCCCTTTTAAGAAGAGAGCTAAGAAGAGACTAAGAAGAGCATAGTCTCTGACCCCTAACTGGTTAGCTCAGGGTAGGAAGACTTATCTATTAATAGTTACCGTCTGGACTTCAAGACAGAAGAAGTAGAGTAGACTGACCTAGAATAAAAACCAGTCTGAAACCAGGGCTCTCTGGTTTTAGACATTTTAGTAACCCTACAACAAGGGCACACATTACCTTGAAGACATGAGCCAGTGTTTCTTGTTTGAAATGGAGACAGATATAGACATGAAGATGTTGGGACCATCAGGCTGCCCAGCAGGGACTAAGGAGTAGAATTAAGTACATTGTCATCTTTCTGGGCAACAGGAGGAAAATGAAGGCGTTGCGACTTCTGTCTTATTTCTCTTTCAAGCAATCAAATTAAGATCATCAGCCCTCCATTCTTGGAGAAGAGATTGTCTTTAGAGGCTTACTGTGTAGCTCTAGCTCTGAATACATTTCTTTAAACAAAAGAAATTCAAAAATTATTTATTGAGCACCTTCTAGGAATAAGACAAAGACCTGCCCTCATGAACAGACAATGAGCAAGGGAATAACAATGGCTTCAGACAGCTGTAAAAATAAATAAACCCGAGTGAGAGGGCTTGGAGGGGCGGGCACCAGGTACAGCCTCTCTGAGGGGAGTACATTTGAGTCCATCCTCAGAGGTGAGAGGAGTGAGCTGGGGAGAGCATGTTCCAGCCAGGTGATAGCCTCCAGTGCAAAGGCCTCAAAATTGGGACGAGCTTGGAGGGTCTGACAACCAGAAGGCCAGTATGATTGCAGCATAGGGACAAAGTCAAGTGGGTTAGGAGAAGGCTCTGTCTGGAAAGGAGTCAGGTAACTAATACTCTGTAAAGCCATACTCTTAGTATAATTGGGTGTCCCTGGACCATTTGGGAGTTGGAATGGAGAAGGGATATGACCTGTTTTATTTTACAAATATCTCTAGAGATGCTTGCAATTATAGACTGTATGGGTGCAAGAGTAGAAGTAGAGACTCTAGTTGGGTCTTGATAATATATAGTTTTTGAATCCCAAAAGCTGAAACATCCTACTGTACTGTTTGAATCTCTGTCTGATAATGATGGCCACTGCTTTTATTTCCCAGCATCAAAACCTCTCTGCTTGCTTATTGCTTAAACATCAGAATAAAAGCATTTGTTGAAATTCATTTAACTTGAAAATATGATTTGTGCTTATCAGCTTATTAAAGATAACACCTCAATCAGTCATAGAATTTTATTTTGGCTTTAATGACTTACTTCATCTTCCTTCTACAGGGAACCCCATCACCCTTCAGTCCCTTATCACTATTATGAACCTTTCGGACCAGATGAATGTACAATGTACCTGTCTCATGAGCGAGGGCGGAAGGGCAGTCATCACCGCTTCATCACAGAGAAACGAGTCTTTAAGAACTGGGCACGGACATTCAATATTCACTTTTTCCAGCCAGACTGGAAACCAGAACCACTTGCTATAAATCATCCTGAGAATAAACCTGTGTTCTGAGAAATGAGTGTGTCAGACCGAAACCCCAAGCACCCACCCCAGAACCAGACACCAGGCCACTGGACTTCCTGAGCCCCAGACACAAAAGAGGAGCAGAAGTGGCAGGAAATAGCTTCACTCCTCAAGAAGTACCCTGTGCAGATGCCTACGAGAAGTGACTACAAAACAGCGCTGCTGGCTTACAGGAAAATGCCAGAATTAATGCACTCTGACGTGTGTTCTCACTTTCAAAGAAGCAGACCTCTTCTTTCAATGATGCTGCCATGGTTACATTTTGGATCTCTTTAAGTATTGCCTTCAAAACTGAAACATGAGCAGCTCAACAGCATTTATTAGTTGTATTCCTTTATAGAAATGCCTTGTCAAAAGACATTTTTCTATCAAGGTGTATCCTGAACTGACCTATATAACCTTTGTCATCAGTTGGCCCCTGTGTGTGTGGTTTGTATAAAGCTGCCTGAAAGTGTCTCTGATGAGCACAGCTCCGTGGACTTTCCTAAAGCAAATGCCCAGTATTTATTTATGGAGAGTTTTGTAGTGTACTTTAGGCCAGTATTTTTATAGATTATTATGTGGTAATTTAGCCCTATCTTTGTTTAGGTAACGTATTCTAAGTCTTGAATCCTGAAAGACGGTTGGAAAGGCCTGGAGTCGGGTTGAGGAGTTGCTGTGCTCACAATGCTCATGGTCAGCGAGCGGGCAGTTCGAATTTCCGCTTGGAAATGTTGTCTCACATTTTTGCGAACCCTTAGGCTTCCAGAATAGCTATAACATTTTCCAAGGCGCAGAAATGCTCAAATGACAAAACTGAAAACCAAAAACTGTGTCATTAGCACAGAAAAATACTAAGAAGAGAAACTGAGAGATGGTTTCCTTCACTAATAATCGATGGAGTTCACTTAAGCCCAGTTTCCTCTTCGGCAGAATGATGTCACTGTACTATAATAGATGACCTCTTAACATTTCATTCCAAACCTGAAATTCTATGGGACTTTGAGCCATGTCAGGACCTTGAACTTGGAATGATGGGGCTCCCACAGTAGCAGGGGCCTTTTTAGGGGACCTTTCATATTGCCCTACTACCTATCTCCCTCTGGTGATAAAAAAAAAAAAAAAAAAAAAAAAAAAAAAAAAAAATTAAAAAAAAAACCATATGTTATCCCAAGTCCCCAGTAACTAAAATCTACTCCCGGCTTTGAGAGAGAGAGAGAAGTAAGAGAGAGAACTTCCATGGTGCTGCCTGACTATAAGAGCAAGGGACTGCACTTCTGTGAGTCTGTCAGGAGAATTCTCCCATCATACCACTCATTTATCCCATGAACTATTTAGATTCACACCATTCATCCCCTGATGTGGAGGAGTGTGAAGAACTTGTTTTATTCAGAGCCAAGGCCAGTCGGTATGAAAGATTTTCATTTAAGCAAGTAATATTGTTCAAAAAGTCTTTTAAAAGATATAACAGTGTTGTTTTTTACCCATGGATTAAGAGGCGTTAGTTTCTCTAATGCCAAATTTGAAGGCACCAGCATATACCAGGTCTGAAGACTGACATTGTTTTTACAGAACATGACCTGGCTTGTGATTCAGGAAGTTGTCTCACAAAATTACCAGTTCTTTTCCCTGTCCTTATCAGTACTAAGATCCCATGTCCCTGCACTAACTGGGTCTATTAATTACCTAGAGTCTGGTTGTTGAGATGCAAACACAGCCTAGATATTTATACATATAGCAAAATGAAGTTGGTGTTATCGTGGTGTGGCTTGAGCTATTAAAAGTCAGTACAATTGAAATGTCTATTCAAAACATACTGGAATGTGTCCTATAAATTTTCTCATAGTTTGTAAAGAGAATTTTTTTTCCAGTACAATCTCTTCTGCAGCATGGACTCTGAATACACAATACTTTATGAACCTTTGAAAAGTGTATAAATTTTAGATAGTTGACTTACAGGCCACCCGTACCATCACTTGAAGGGATTATATTGTTCAGATGTAAGTAGCTCCTTTAACTACTTTTATTTTTATAGACAGTTAAGAAGGCATACTTGGGAAATGCAAAGAACTACATATTACTAATCCAATAATATCTCAAATGTCTGTGCTATCCTCAAGTTTTAGGGTTTGTTTGTTTTTTAAAGACCCTATGATAACTTCTTTTTTTGTAACTCCTCCCTCTCAAAAACCCAAAACAGTGGGAAAAAACAGCAAATTCTGAAATTTCTGTCTTCACTGGGAAATATTTTAAATATATGTGTAGCTAGGACATGTGAGTGTGTGAGTTTATATTTTTTAAAACATGCCATAAATAAATGTAAGAAATTATCGCTTAGGCAGTGGTTTTATTACAACATTTAAAGAAAATGCCTAGAATTCTGATAGATTGTGCTGATGGACCTGGTTGTGGGCAATTGAATTCTTATATTGCCACTATTTCATAACTATCAGTCTTACCACCATTCAACACCATTAAGCATCAACTCTGATATAAAAGGTGACTATAAAACCATGTTTACAGACCTCAGTGATTTCGGTATCTGATTGTGTTTGAAGCCTAAGTCATACTCGTTATGTTATATACCTTTTTCTTCTCTCCCCAGCTGTGTCATCAGCTTCCTCCCAGCCTAAGACCCCAGCAGCACAAAACCACAGCTGGACGGTCCATGGCGTCTGTTATTTCAACGCAACAACGTTTGGCAGAGGCCATTACCATAGATAACCATCATGAGCAAAGATACAGGAATTCACAAACAAAATCAATCACTTCAAATGGCCCATGAAAAGAGGCACTTGCATTTAATATTCTATAGTAAATATTCACCGAAGAAAGCGTACATTAAAGGAACATCAGGAGGTGAATAGTCAGTGTGCTGCGCAGGGACTTCGCTGTGTGGTTTCCATTGTGGTGGATGGGTGTTTGATAACTGAGTCCCTGCGCTTCACTAATCCTGGTATGTGTTCCTAAGGGCTAGACGTAAAACCGGGGCAGTTCAGCAATTTCCTAAGATTTCAGAGTTAGAGCTTTTCTTAAAAAAATAAGTGAAAGCAAAACATGAAGTATTGTGCCCAAAAGAGAGAATTATGTATGGTTTTGCGGCGTCCTTAGTGACTACTAGATATGTGTATCAGATCCCAAACAACACTTCTCAAGTCAGATTATGTTTGTTTTCTGAAATTCTCTCCATTACTGATCTATTTTAATTACATTTATTTATTCATCTTAACCTTTATTGTTGAGAGTATTATTTGAATTACATTTAAATAGAAGGATATAACCTCATTTTTTTAAAAAAAATTCTTTTTCTTTTTTTTAAAATATATTTTATTGATTTTTCACAGAGAGGAAGGGAGAGATATAAAGAGCTAGAAACGTCAATGAGAGAGAAACATCTACCAGCTGTCTCTTGCACACCCCCTACTGGGGATGTGCCCGCAACCCAGATACATGCCCTTGACCGGAATCGAACCTGGGACCTTTCAGTCCTCAGACCGACGTTCTACCACTGAGCCAAACTGGTTTTGGCAAAAATTCTTTTACTTGATTTCAGAGAGGAAGGGAGAGGGAGAGAGGAATAGAAACATCAATTATGAGAGAGTCATTAATTGGCTGCCTCCTGCATCCCCAATTTCCTCCACTGGAGACCAAGCCCACAACCTGGATATATGCGATAACCTTCTGGTTCACAGGTTGATGCTCAACCACTGAGCCACAGTGGCTGACTCTAACATCTATATATATAAAAGGCTACTATGCAAAATGTCTCCTTGGGAGTTCAACCAGGAGACCAGGGGTCCCATTGCTCAACATGACATGAGCTGACCACCAGGGGGCAGCATGGAACAAAGGAAGATCCTGGCCACAGCAGGAAGGAAGGCTGTGGCCAGCAGCTGGAAAGCCCCAATTGGCCCTGATCTCTGGCCAGGCCTAGGGACCACACCTGTGCATGAATTTCATGCACTGGTCCTCTATAGCTTTTTAAATTAAAAAAAAACTCCTCGTGGATTAAAAATCTTGATTTTGAAGCTAAATGAATGCTACATAAAAGTGGAAGGAAACGTTGAAATTCTGTTAGGTCTAAAATAGTGTTATTTAAACACTTAAATACCTATTTACAATAGACCAAATATATATCCTCATGTAGGCATGGCCTCATTTCAGAAATGTACCCTGGCTTCCAAGGGGGTGATGACTGAGATTATCCAATAGACCTACTCTGAGAGAAGAGTCTCTGTTCTCTCTCACTGAATTACCAGGTGACTATACACCTGCAGATTTCATACCTGACCACGTTACTTCTTCCATCTTCACTGCTTCTCTCTTAAACCTCATTTCATCTTGTTGCTATCATTGTCTCATGGTAGGCTTTTTGTTGTCCGCAATGTGCTCTTAAACCAGCAGTCTTACCATCTGCTGTTGAAGACTCCCTTGTAGATTTTTAAACTAGAGACCTATCGTAGGAACACGTTTAGGATGGATCATGCCATGACCATTTTAGGTGAGAAGATTCTATTAATATCTGGCTACAAGACAAGGGTCTTTGAAATACCATCATGGTTTCCCAGAGGAGCAGGAGAGGGAAGGAGGATCAAGACACGGACTCCTGGTACTAAAATCAGGACACTCCTAGGCAAACAGGATACTGAGTCACCCTATCGAAAGGCCACCTCAAGAAAAAGAACTGTGATGCTAAAGCCTTGGAGGGAAAGAGAACTAATTGCCTAGGTCCTAGCATATGCCAACAGATAATTTGGAATGGAGAGAGGTGGTAGAGTGCCTGTAAGATTCAAACATGAACGGAGTACCCCCTCTATTCTGGCTCACTCATCCCCACCAACTCAGGGTATTGAACCAATATGAAAAAAAAAAAAAAAAAGAAAAAAAAAGTGTTGCACTCCTGTTTGTTTCTACTTAGAGCTCTAATGTTATATACTACCTTGGGTGGCTCTGTCTTCTTATGTGTGTGTCCTGTTAGTCTAATTAGATTGTAAGCTCTTAGAGAGCAGGAACTGTTTCTCCTTTATCTTTGTAGCCTCATGCCTAGTATAGTGCCTTGCACACAATAGGCACTCAATAAATGTCTGTTGTTGATGATAACCTCTTAATGTTGACCTATACCTAGTGGATTGGTAAATGATATATAGTCTTCCATTCAAGATGTACAGGAGACAGAATAGATGGTAAAACAGTTACATCTTAAGAGATGTCAAGTGTATAATGTTTTTAATCGGCAGAGCTGACCTAGATTTTTGGTAGAATAATGTTGCTGAACTCATTGGGTTTGCTAAGGCTGACTGTACTGAACACAGGTGAAGTAAAGTTCAGCAAGCTTTGTGTCCTCACTGTTAGTGGCACAAATTAAATTTAACATTGACAAAAGCTATACCATACACCCAAGGGCAATGTGGGCTCTGACTTGTGTGGTACAACTACAAAAGGGAGGGCTAAAATGAGATGAGTTACAGACTACCTTGAACTTGACAGCTCCCAAAAGCTGCTGGAAATCCAACTGGTGGTTACTGAGGGTCTGTAAAAATTAAGTTTTCAGGTGTCTTAAAAAAAAACAAAAACAAAAAAAACCCTTGTGTTTCCATAAAGTGATCCAAAATGGTTTCATCTCTACCCAAATGGGAGGGGAAAGAACTCATGGGAAAAGGTGGAGCATTCCAGGCTCCTGAGATACTACCTGGCCAGCACCTGGTATCCAGCTACCTCCAGGTTGCTTGTGAAGGCAAGATGGCATAAAGTCAGTAAAGCTGAGTTAGCAGCCAATGGCTACCATAATCATTACTTTCTTAAGTACAGAATTCCTTTCTTTCATCATCTACTCTTCCACAATTGTGTAATCTCTATTTCTTTTTGTCAAGTGTCGGAAAAGCACTAGAAGACACAGCATTAAACTGAGAAAAGTGCTTGTTTCTGAATAGATAGAGTTAGAGATCTTCTCACAATTTCAAAATTGTTATTATAATCACATAATGTTATTTCATGAAATATTTAAAAAGATATCAGAACAGGATTTCAAACTGAATCCCAACAGGAGTGCTCAGAGAAAATCTAGTACATGCCGTGTCTAACTACACATTAAAAGAATGTCTTTGCTTCACTACATAAATCATCTCA